CAAAAAAAAAAAAATGTTTAAACTGGATCAGAACGATCCGGGTTTGGAAATCCCATGTTTTGCTATTGAGGATCAGGTAATTTTACCGTCCATCTCTCTCTTTCTTTTTTTTGGCGCTGTTTTGAGTCCAGATTAAGATCACTCAGATCCATATACAAACATTTCCAGATGACCAAATCTGGATTACCAGTGCTCTAAATGGAATCACAATGTAGGCTACTAGCTATAAAAGATGAACTACAGTAAGAATAGTTGTGTTTTGATTTGAACAAACAGAAACTAGCACAGTTAATGAATACAAACATCCGCATCCATTTTCAATTTCTTTTAAACAGTCAAGCCTCTCATCTGATCCACAACAAATAAAAGTAAACAAAAATACATGCAATAAAATGTTTGGTTCATCTCTTATGATTGTGTCATCATAATTAATATAAAGTGACTAATGACATTTAAAATTAAATATATATATATTTTTAAATATATTATTTATTAACAGCTGTTTGAGTGATAATGTGGACAATATATATATATATATATATATATATTTACTTTTATGAACTGAAAAGAAAAGCTTTATAGATAGCCTACTCTTATTTTATGTGCTTTACCACCGTAACAGTTAAACAAAGCAAGTGCAAAATATAAATGTTTGAATAAACATTTTATTACATTTGGTTCCTGAAAAAAAATACTGGGCATTTTTTTGGATCAACGGGATCCCAATCTTAATAAAAATATATGTTACAACACATACCAAGGTTTGATCCAGTTTAAAACTATGATTTCAGATTTCTTTTTTTTTCTTCTTATGAACAACCCATTTTCAAGATTGGATCTGATCCCATGTGGTCTTTGACTTTTATAAAACCCCACCAAGTGAACTACCCACTAGAAAATGCACAGTTATTATTAAAATAAAATATAAAAACTTCAAGTTTTCTGTTAAATTGCTTTCATTACAAAATTACAAATGATTTGGCACTGTATAACCATAATTCTCTTTGGCAAATTAAACAAGAACAAACATAAATCATTCTTAAAGCACAAATTTCACCCCCCTCTGGCAATTTAGTAACCATTAAAATAAATAAAGCAACATATTAAACCTTCAACCACAACATGAAGAAAAAAAGTACAATCAAAAATACAACATAAAGATGCAGTCATTGCAAGTGCACAGTAATTCATCCTTGTAATCCACTATTTAATAAACTCAAAGTTCAGTGTTCCTGAGGTTTGACTGAGGCACATTACATTCCTTATTAAACTCACAGCCATTAAGGAGCTTTGAGTAATGCTTTCTGACCGTTTCATACAGTGGAGCCAAATGGTTCATGTTGGGAAAGGTCATTAACTTCTCATTGAGAAACAACTGTATTCTGAGTCCATCACTGCATTCGTACAGGACAAAGACTAAGTTTGCAGCATAAGGTACAATCTGACTGGAGCGGAATGTGCGGTTGTGCTGCAATGAAAAATTCTCTGCAGTTAAAGGTTTTTCATCCTTATAGAAGGACATCAGAGAGAGCAGAGGCAGCAGGGTTTCACCATGTCCAACCTGGATGGTGGCAGTCTTTTTTACCCCTCCAAATCTGTTAGATTACAGGAGATAGTAAAAACACAAATGAACACAAACATCAATATGTTCTACGGAGTATTTTAAGTGGACAAATACGCCACAAATGGGACGGGAACCAGTCCACATCTCAATCTCCTAACCTGTAGTCATTAGCAGCCTTTTCAAGACGCTTGAAAATATCATGAAAGAGAGGGCAGCTGGATTTACGGTTGACGTCATGTCCATATCCCCTCTTCCAGTACTGTTTCAGGTCATTTTTGTACTCGAGGACCTAACAAGAGGCCAAAAACATGTTACTGCATAAGAGAACATACATTTGGTTGCCAAGTTTAATGTGGCTGAGAAACTCAGGAGAACTCTATGCTCAATAAATCTATTTTATGAGCTCAAATCTAATCTTAAATTCAGAGTATTCCCTAAACTGCTTTTTTTTTTTGTGTAGTTGTCATCATTGCAATAGCAAAGATGTAATAAATGCTGAATAAAAACAGTTCTATGTAATGGAGCTGACATATCCAATTACTATTTGAATCTTAATACCATTCATGATTAGATCCACTGAAAATGGAAGTGTTTAATTTCCAACCAGACATACGTACTTGAGCGTCAGACTCATCCAGCAGATCACACCAAGGGGAGTTCTCTGATTTGATGGCAAACTCATAGGAACACAAAAAGAAAGCTGCCTCTGCCATATCTAGCAAAAAAAATTTAATCAAGATTAGGATTATTTTAATTGACACATTTACATTTAACAACTACAACTGAACAGTCAGACAAATTGTCCACTAGTATAAAAAGCAAGATTACCTGGGGTGAATTGACTGTATGGAATCTGAAGGCGACTGGATATTTTCCTCCGTACTGCATCCATTTCTGCTGAAGATTTAAAGCGTTCTACCTCCTTCAAAGCTGTTTTGTTTTTCTCAACACTTTCAACAAATCTCTCGCAATGGTCAAAGAATCTCATGAGTGAATCATCCACATAGTGTTTGTAATCCATATCTATAAAATAAAAAGTGTGGTTACTTGAACAACAGTTACCAAGGCCCATTACTTCAACTATAAAGTTTACTGGATTACAGGTAAACCCCACTTGCTGCAGAGTTGTTTAAACAGTCTATAAAGATAGTAATAGGCACTTTATGGCAGATTTACCAAGGACATTTCTCATGGTGTTTCAGTGTCTTTATACGCTAGCCCTAAAAGTGCTGTAGTCAACTGAGAATTCAGCAATCTGCCTTTGTTTACTACCAAGGTGGGACTCGAAAATATTTGACTCCACTGAATCTATAAAAAAAAGTCTACAACTTTAATTTAAATCTGAAAATAAACAAAGTTGTGGTATTATTTAAATGTAAAGAAAAATATGCACTATGAAGTAAACATTAATAAGAAATATTTAGGATTTTGCTGGAAATCTTCTGGAGTTATTGGTCATTAAGAAAGTTAACTCGTGTTGATCTAAACCTGTATGAAACATAAAAGAGGATATTTTGAGAAATGTTCCAATGATTTTCTGTCCAACAGAAGTCAGTGGTCACCAAAACTGTTTGGCTACTAATTTAACATTTTCTAAAGTCATACAAGTCACGAATGACATGAGGGTGAGAAATAATTTTTATTTTCTGGGTGAACTATCTCTTAAGTTAAAATGTTAAAGAGACCAACAAAACATCTATTAAGTAAGGGACACTAAGCCTACCCTGAACATCCCAGAGTCGGTGAAGACCCTCTTGAAAAGCTTTGACACTATCAACACAGCGATGCTTGGAGCTGGTGATGAACTCAATGCGGTTGGCACGGAGATGATCCTCAGAAATCAAAGTGGGGAACGACTGTGCCAGTCTCACAGCCAAATGCCTGTGGTCATCGCACCCTTTCTCCACCAGTCTGCCGTCCATGTCTTCAGTGTACCACATTTTCCATGTCTTAATGTCATTTAGCCACGAGGCTGAACCCGACGCGTGAGACACGACCAGTTCAAACAATCGCGCGATCTTTTTCACATTTTTGGTGGTTGGATAGCGCGTCCCGTGACGTATAACCGACACCATATGAATGGCACGGCAATCTGGAGAGGGGGGAGCTACCAGTGATTTGTTTACAAACAAAATGTCATCTAATAGATGTGGGTTCACTTCCTCGTACCTGCCTTTTGTCCCAAAGTGATGCGCTATCGCCGGTATCGTTGGCCTGGCAAGTTTAGATAATGACAAACCAACCATAATGCTCAAAGAAGTGATAAGAAAGTTCGCGAGGAAGTAAGTTGTTTTCATTTCTGGATGTGCGATACCTGTTTCACCTAAAATACCCGTAGCTTGGTCACCTGTACGTTCATTCAATCAGGATTGCCAGGTCTGTGTAACAAAACCAGTCCAATTGCTACTCAAAAAAAGGGATAACCACGGCCAAAACGAGCACTATCACGTTCCGGGGGGAAACCGCTGACTTGGCAACACTGCATTCAATGCCTAAGTGAAGCCAGCCTCAAAATCGAGATACAAAACCTTCCGGGTTAAAACACAGCTATAATATCAAAGAACTTACCGATTGTTCTAATGATCTCTCAGTGATTGATTTCAAACATATTACTGCTTTACATGGTTTACACACACACACACATATATATATATATTTCAAAAGTTAATTATGTTCATAGCCAACATGTTTTTCTATGTATGCGTTAGACGGACGTGCCTTTTTATCTATTTAGCTCTGCGGCTTTGCAGTAAGTGCGCATGCGTCTCGTGTTTTTCAAAGCAAAACGCGTTCTGTGTGAATTGGCCCCTAAAGCCTTGTTTTGTACAGTTTTGTTTTGAATAAACAAAGTAAAATATACACAAAACACTATTACAAATTGAGTAAAAGGGTTGGAAGTTACTGGATTTATAGCTATTGTTGTGGAATTTTCTTGGGTGCGGCCAATGAAGTGGAGAAGCAGAGTTCCAGATGTCAAAAAATAAGACTTTATTTAACAAAGAAACAAAGCCGGGAAGACAGTCACAGCATACCAAATCATTCCAAAGTCTCTGTTTGTCAACTTATATTATATACCCCTTGTTCTCTCCAAATTTGGTCATTTTCTGTTTTTTCTTTGTTCCGGTTAATTTTTATTGGCCTGATTTGCCACAATTGTTTCCAACTCGTTTGGCCTTGTTTTCTAATGGTGGAACATGGTCCGAGCTAAAAAAGCTTTTTATTTCATTGGTTGGTAGTGGTCACATGAGGAGGTGTGCGTCAAATCCAGCCACCTGCTCCTGATAATATTAGATTATTTCATGTTTACTTCCACTGTCTACTGAAAGGTCCATTGTCTAATGAAAAGACCATTATTCGTGTTGTTACATTATTTCAAGTTCACAGGTGTACTTTGTAATGAAAGGTTCACTGTCTAATGAAAAGACTATTATTCGTTCTATGACATCCAGGGTTAACATAATTCAGCATATTACTTTATATATTGATTACTTTCATTTTCACATAATACTTCAATAAAATTACACAATACTATACGCTGTTATAGATTTTTATGACTGAATGTTGGCTTGCAATCCTTGTTTAATTTATTGTTTCATACAAATTAAAGCGAAAACATTTGTTTGATAATTTTTTCTTACAATAATTTGGTCAACAGGTGGAAGCCTGATGATAACGCATGTTGTTCTGTTATAGATTTTTATGACTGAATGTTGGCTTGCAATCCTTGTTTAATTTATTGTTTCATACAAATTAAAGCGAAAACATTTGTTTGATAATTTTTTATTACAATAATTTGGTCAACAGGTGGAAGCCTGATGATAACGCATGTTGTTAGGTCATTCACAATTAGCAGAATCCCAGCCCATGAATTAGAAATATGTTTGCATCTTCTTAAGTTTGGCAGCAGTATACTGCATAAATGCAAAAGAGACTAATTTACCAAAAGATTACACTTGTAGGTACTACTATTAGTAGGCTATAGTAATCTAAAGCTAATCAAAAAGAGTAGACTACATGAAGGCAAACACATTGACTTGATGAATAATGACTGTGATATGGTCAGTGACAAGTAATATCTTACTTGTTCGTTAAATAATAAGTTAAATAAGTTACATTTAGCATGTGCTATGCTAGCTGTTGATTTTAACGGAATAAGATTAATTTCCAGGGCCACAACGCCATTAGTTGGAGCAACTTAATTGTTTGAATAATCAACTTATTTGTGTTTATGCCACAAATTAAGTTCTTCTAACACAATGCATGGTAGTAGATTTTATGAAATCATTAGAAGTCTTCATAACTCAAAATGATTAATGTGTTGCGTTAATTTTTTTTAATTTATTTATTTATTATTAACTTTTGTATAGTAAGTAACTTCTGGGCTAACTGTAAAGGTTTTGCACACAAATAAATTAATATTATTTTTTAAATGTGTTTAAAATGATGTGCACACATGGAATGAAGACATTTTTATTTTATTTTATTTTTTATTTTTTTTATAGATCAGATGAGCCATCAAAACTGCCATGCCAATAGGTGTCAGTATAATATGGAAGCCCATTTCCGCCACTGAATAAAAAATAAAAAAAGGTAATTGCGACTTTTTATCTCACAATTCTGCCCTTTTTTTCGCAATTTCGACTTCACATCCTGCAATTCTGACTCTTTTTTCGCAATTTCGACTTTACATCCCGCAATTCTGACTTTTTTTCTCAGAATTGTGATACACAAACTCGCAATTCTGACTATTCTCAGAATTGAGACATAAACTCGCAATTGTGAGAAATGAAGTCAGATTTGTGAGATATAAACTGTCAATTCTGATTTTTTTTTTCCTCAGAACTGCATGATATAAACTCGCAAGTGCGAGTTATAAAGTCAGAATTGTGAAATATAAACTCGCACTTCTGAGAAAAAAAGTCAGAATTGCGAGATGTAAACTCGCAATTGCGAGAAAAAAAGTCAGAATTGTGAGATAAAAAGTCACAATCACCTTTTTTATTTTTTATTCAGTGGCGGAAACGGGCTTCCATAGTATAAAGTCCAAGACAACTGGATAAAAAAAAAAACTGCTTGTGTGCCTAAATTTGTTGGCTATGTTTATTTGTTAAAAACATAAATTAAAAGAAAGAAAGAAAACAGTGATTTGTTAGTCACTGTAAATGAACTACAATATTTATGGTTGTTGATATTGTACAACATTAAAATAAAAGCAAAATGAATGGAATAATATCTGATAATGCTTTGACACATCATAAGTGGTGAATCCTAACTCATACAGTATATTCAGCAGTTTCAGGTCTCTAGGTGTCTGTGTGGTTGTCTCCCCAAGTGTGTTTGTTTTTGTCTTTCAGCTGGCCGGATTCCCAGGGAACAGGTAGCATTTTCTGTCTGTTGAAGTTGTATTTCTCTTACTCTTGTCTTCTACATTATCTCTGCTCTAATCCGAGTTAGTCCGGTGTGTTTGCTCCTCTTGGTCTTGATTTCTGCATGTTCTCTGGATTACATCTTTTTGATTCAGGTCTCAGTTTGATTGCCTGGTCCATTCACTCTTCTGACGCTGTCGACTCCTCTGCTCTTTGGTTTACCCTCTTGGATTAGCCCACTATATCTGCCATCTCTCTGTGCCATTTCTCCTTGGTGCCTGCTGTACTGTCCCTTTCCTTTGTTTCCAAGTGAGCTACCTTGTTTTTGTTTCCTGTCTTCTAAGATTGATTTGAATTTTTGACGTGTTTAAAAAGAAAGTCCTGCTTTGCCATCAGTCTGCTCCTGAATCCTTTGTCATTCTGACAGCATTGCAATCATGGAAGAAATATATGAAGAAGTTTTGAATCTCTTCACTAAAAATGTGTACAGTATGTACCCTGTACAGTACAACAAGACAGGATGGCAGAATTTGAGGTAATATGTCAGAGGTTAGTGACAAAGTCATCATTTTGTGCCAGAAGTACTTTGAATTTGGTAAATATCCAATATAAGTTAAGCAGGTTAATTTATGGTTGCAGATGGCAGATGTTGTACTATGAAAGAAGGAAAGCGGTGAAGACCAAGTAGGAGTACACACTGCTGTTTGAGGAATTCCACAGCACACCAATTGTGGCATATTTAAAACCTGGAACGTATTGTGTGCCAGGCATTACTGGCCAGGGATGACCATCATGGACATTGAGAAATGGGAAATAATTACATATTCTATTGCACATGTAATTAAGCTTTTACCAATCATACAGTGTTTTTGCGACTGTTGCGTTCCACTGTATTGTTGAAAAGTATGGTAAATTGTTCATGGTTCAAAGGTTCATGACAAGATCTAGCAGTCTTTGTGCTCCCTTAATGATAACATAAGAGATAGGCTTGCATGTCTACTGCATTTGAGGTCATACAATAGCAAAAATGTAAACCCACCACAATTTTTTAAAAATAAATTGGGGAACATGAGAAGTTTATGACAATCAATTCCAAAGTCAGGGAAAGACCCAATAAGTATTGAAAACTGGAGTCGCATATCATGCGTTAACAAGGATGCTAAATTGTTAGCGATTATACAGTATTTGCTGAGAGGCTTTGTTTGGATATATTTATTGATGACTGCCAATTGGGATTTATGTGTAGCAAGTATATTGGAAACAATATTCATCTTGTAAGCAGTTCCTAACAGCCAATCTGTATAATGTGTAATGTGTGTACTTTGGAAACAGGTTAGTATTTTTTTCCTTTGACAATGAAGAAGGTTTTTATATAATGAAAACTGATTAAATATGTGGAGGATGAGCTTCCCTTCCTTACTAATTGCAGCAAATATGAGGCCATTTGAAAGAGTTTATTGTTTATCGTTTATTGACATTTTCAACATCATTGCAAGTACTTAAGAGTACTAATGTAACATCAGACAATCCATATTACAAATGTGATTTCTAAAATCCGTTCACATCAATATTCACTAAATTCACTTTGTCAGTGGTGACAAAATGTTATATCTTTTTAGAGAGAAGGCAGCACAGTCATCATCTGAATTAGAGACAGTGACTGCTCGTTACGGAAACTCTTACACCATGTCTACACTGCATGTGTCCGTTGTTGCACATAACAACTTGCAGCTGTCTACAATAAGGTGTCAAATGTTCCAGATTCATTTGTCCTGTTGTCTAAAGTAGATTCAGAGTAAGTCAGAAATTTTTACTGCCTATGACTGACTGTAATGGGTTATGTGCTTTTGAAGAGGCACTTGCACTTAACTTGTGTAGGCAAGGTGTTACTTAATTTTTTTGTAAATAAGTTTGTACTATTTTATGTATTTCTGTAGATTTACTAACATGATGCTAATCCACAGTACTTTAGAAATAAAGTGCATTTGAATATAATTTAGACAAAATGTTTTATTTTGATCAAAGGTAAGATTTTACGTATTTGTAACTGTTAAATAACAAGTTTTTAAAAAATTTTTTTTTA